ACGAGCCGATCAGGTGTCCCTGCCTATACAACATATTTTTCGTCTTATAAACCCTTAAATTTCCCCTAAATCCTAGCTTCTCAATTTAGCATTAGATAGAACATACCCTACACTGAGCCAGCTGTTTAATATCCGGTGTAACTTAGAAAGTTAGCATATAAAGTTCCACTCTGATTAAAAAAAAAAAAAAAAATCAGTCCAAATAGTGAACTCTTATACCAGTACTGTTTATTCAGAAAGAAAAAAAAAAGTTTAAGGTTAAACAGCTGACATGTTTTACTATAACATTCTTTGCTTCATTAACTATCTTTCTCATCCACTTTTCCTTGACACCATTACACATTACACCAATCCCTTTCATTTGGGAAAATGTTAAACACTATTTTAAGAGGAAGAAAAGAACATCTGGTCCCACTGGCACTAAGCCATGAATTATTTTTATTTATGACTGTTGCCTGAAAATATTCTCTCCTAATCTTTAAAATCTGGAAAAAAATAATGCTTTCATTTGCAAGAGTTTAATATCTCATAAATAAAGCCTCCTATACATACTATTTTTTAAGACCATTCATACAATCTTAATTAGAAATACCAATATAATGTGAATCATGTAATAGAAAATACTTCATGTAATGTTATCTGTAGATTTTATTCTAAATAGTAATGTTTTACTTGATAAAGTACAATCCATATGTATTATGTTACAGTGTTGGGTTTTTTTTTTAAGATTTTATTTATTTATTTGACAGAGGGAGAGTTAGCATGGGCAGGGTAAGGGGCAGAGAGAGAGAGAGGGAGAAGACTTCTTGCTAAGCAAGGAGCCTGATGTGTGGCTCAATCCCAGGACCCTGGGATCATGACCTGATTCGAAGGCAGATGCTTAACTGACTAAGCCACCCAGGCACCCCTGTTACAGTGTTTTAAATGATACCTTCAACCAGTTCTTAATTAAATAATTCTAATCTGACTCATTATATACAGGAATAATAAAGTAAACTCATGTAATTGGAGATAAAGGAATATGGAACTTTCAAATGAGTCAGAAAAAAAATACAGAGGAAAAAGTGACAGAGCAAATGTAGTAAAATGTTAACAATCAGGGACTCTGAATGAAGGGAAAATGAAAGTTCTTTGCATTATTCTTGCAAAATTTTTACTTTGAATTAATATGAAACTTAAAGTTACTCAAAAAACCTCAATTAGTCACACAGCTCAGAAAATGAAGTTACATTCATCATTCAGCTGAGTAATTCCCATTAGAACAAAATGAGCATGTACTTCCAATATCTAAAAATTTATTCATAAATTATATACAGGTACTTACCACACTGCTAATATATTATATATATATAACAAATCATATATTCAAAAGTAGGTTTTTTTAAATTTTTTTTAAAGTAGATCTTTTTTTTTTAGGATTTTTTTTTTATTTATTTGACAGAGAGAGAGATCACAAGCAAGCAGAGAGGCAGGCAGAGAGAGGGGGAAGCAGGCTACTTGCTGAGCAGAGAGCCGGATTCGGGGCTCAATCCCAGGACCCTGAGATCATGACCTGAGCTGAAGGCAGAGGCTTAACCCACTGAGCCACCCAGGTGCCCCAAAAGTAGGTATTTTAAAAGGAGAAAGTTAAAAAGCAAATCCAAAGGGAAGGAATGATCTTGCTCCACAAGTGAATTCATCCCATACCCAGTAACTCCCAGTAACTCTCCTCTTCTAATTCAACCTGTACTCTAAACTCCAGCTTTCACTTCCCACAAGATTTCTAAACCTGAGGAACCAATCCGAGAACCAACACTAACAAAGTTAGACTAAACTGAGTACCTTTCCCCAGAAACCTGCTTTTACTCTGGCTTTCCCCTTCGTGCTAAAGGTGTCTGATTGCTCAAGGTAGCAAAGTCTTTCTCTTTCCAGCCCCTGTATTGCCCCCTCACAAGAATATTACCACGTTCTGCCCCCTTGAATTCTGAGTTCCTTCCATCCTTTTTTTTTTTTTAAAGATTTTATTTATTTATTTGACAGAGAGAGATCACAAGTAGCCAGAGAGGCAGGCAGAGAGAAAGAGAGGAGGAAGCAGGCTCCCTGCTGAGCACAGAGCCGGATGCGGGCTCGATCCCAGGACCCTGGGATCATGACCTGAGCTGAAGGCAGAGGCTTAACCCACTGAGCCACCCAGGAGCCCCCTCCTTCCATCCTCTTTAAATCCACTGCTTCAGACGCCTGGGTGGCTCAGTGGGTTAAAGCCTCTGCCTTCAGCTCGGGTCATGATCCCAGGGTCCTGGGATCAAGCCCTGCAGCAGGATCCCTGGTCAGCAGGGAGCCTGCTTCCCCCTCTTTCTCTGCCTGCCTCTCTGCCTACTTGTGATATCTCTCTCTCTCTCTCTGTGTCAAATAAATAAATAAAATCTTTAAAAAAATAAAAATTTTTTAAAAATCCACTGCTTCTAAGGCACCTGGGGGGCTCCGCTGGGTGAGTGTCTGCCTTTAGCTCAGACCATGGTCCCAGATCGAGCCCTCAATCAGGCTCCCTGCTCAGTGGGGAGTCTGCTTCTCCCTCTGCCTGCTGTCCTCCCTGCTTGTGTTTCTTGCTCTTGCTCTCTCGCAAATAAATAATCTTTAAAAATAAGCAAGTTAACAAATCCAGTTTCCTCCACATGGTATCATCACAGTGGATTATTAGAGCAGTTTCTTCATAGAGAGTTTTCAAAGCCTCCAATCTCAACAGCTTCCAACCCATTCTTCACACTGAAGCCTGTGGGATTATTCTAAAACCCAAAATCAACTAACCTACCCACTACTCTCTCCCTTATTGTGGTTCTCCAACACTCAGGAGATAAAGGCCACACATCTAGGACAGTAAACTTGGCCTATTACGACTGATTCTAGCCCATTTCTCTGCCTAGTTGTCCTCAGCTCTCATCTTACTGAAGAGTCACAACTACCTTCGAGTACCACATTTTCTCAGGCCTTAATGCTTTTACACGTTGCTATCACTGCCTAGAAATCCCATCCTTCAGCATTTCCCTGAAGAACTCAGACTCAAGTTTCAAGTCTCGAATCCAAATGCCCTTTCCCCTGTAAGACATTTCCTGAGATCACCAGCAAACTCAAAGGTTCTATTCCTTCAGCTCACTACAGTGTGTGCCCCCCCAGGACAAGCAATACACTGTACTGCTCTTTAAATTCTCAGAATTTGATAAGCAACCAAACACTTAATACTAGCTGAGCTCCTATCAGTTGTGGGGTGGGGGGGGGAGCACTTTTTAACAAACCTCAGGGATAACCAGATAATCTAAAAAAAAGATAAAACCAGATCCATTGCTCACACTGAATACCAAGATAAATTCTAAATAGATGGGAATTAAGTATAAAAAATGAAGCCACATAAGTACTAGAACACCTCACTAAATTCCTTCCTCACCTACGAGTGAAGAAAGCTTCCCGATTCAAAAACCACAATTCTATAGGTGCCTGGCTGGCTCCATCAGTGCAGTGTGTGACTCTTGATCTCAGGGTGTAAGTTCCAGCCCCACTCTAGGGGTAGAGATTACAAAACAAAACCAAAAGAAAACGAATAAATACAATCCTATAACTGACTAAATAAAAATAAAATGTCTAGGTAGCAAAAATGCCATAAGCAAACTAAACACATTTACTGCAAGAGCAGTAAAAAATATACATTATCTTCTGGGCGCCTGGGTGGCTCAATCGTTAAGCATCAGCCTTCAGCATCAGCCTTCAGCTCAGGTCATAATTCCAATGTCCTGGGATCGAGCCCCGCCCAGGGGCTCCCTTCTCAGCAGGAAGCCTACTTCTCCCACTCCCCCTGCTTCTGTTCCCTCTCTCGCTGTCTCTCTCTGTCAAATAAATAAATAAAATCTTAAAAAAAAAAAAAACCTTAAGTAATTGAATTAAATTGAATTAAAAAAAAAAAAATACACACACACACCCCAACACTATCTCCTATTCTGAATCATACCTGAGAGAGCAATGAGTTGTTAAAAAATTTAGTGATGAAATAAGAACACCCAAGTCAGCAACTTCTACTTCTAAGATTTAAAAAAAAGGTCTGCCTCTAAATTCAGTGGAGGCAGCAAACATTAGACTGGAAACTGCAAAAACCCAAATCAGAGAATTAGAAGACAAAAATTATGAGAAAAGCTACAAGTTATTCCTAGAAATCTAATGTTTATACAGAGTTCAAAAATATAAATGAAGGAATATGGGATGGGAGAGAAGACAAAATGAATATTCCCTGAGCTAAAGAAATATAAATGAGTCTTTGGATCGTGACTTATAACTAGTCATATTTCTGAATTTAAAAGATCAGTATTTCAAAGATCAGTATAAACAAGGGGAAATCAAGTTATCAGATTTTTCTCTACAAAATCAAATGTAAAGGAAAAAACAAAACCAGGGGCACCTGGCTGGCTCATTTGGTAGACACGCAACTCTTGATCTCCAGGTCGTGAGTTCAAGCCCCACGCTGGGTGTAGAGATCGCTAAAAATCAACAAACTTAAAAAGGAAAGGAACAAAACCTACATATTTCAAAAGGAAGAAAGGCATAACCCAGTATTTCTACACCAAACTATCCAAGTATCAACTGCAAGGACAACAGAAGTATATTTTCACACAAGCTCAGAAAATCTTACCAACAGAAGATAAAAATTCCACAAAAAAGTATCCTAGCCACAAGAACTGAACCAGGAGAAAGAATGGAGAAGACCTGGTAGAAAAGAGACTACAAGGAAACTACGACATAGTAAAATGTTCACAGTTAAGTCTATAAATAGTTGTTGTGATGTCTCATGCAAATGTTAAATGTCTCCTGAAAGTGACACTTCCTACACTGAAAAAGTAGTAATAATCTATCATGAAAATTCCACTAAGGCTCTTTGTTTATTCTACAGGATAGCCGCAGTAAAGAAAAGAGCTGTAGACTGCACTTGAGAGCACAGACACTGAAGCTTCCCCAGTGTTATTCCAAGTTGATGTACTTACCGGGAGTTTGGTGAAGGCCGGATTGGTAACATGCTTCCCAAAGGCATCTTCCTGGAACTGAAGAAGCTGCACCACTAGCCCAGCCAGCGTTTTGTTGGTAGGAGCATCCGCGTGAACATACTGCAAGATAAAGATGGGGACTCAAAAACTGGGACAGTTGTGTGGAAGAGAACTGTAGCTTACTTCCTATTACCTACTAAGCACTGGCCAGGTGACAGATTTGCAGAGGTCTGAACCTTGGTCTCTGCGTAAAAAGAGCTTACAAAAATAAATACTGGGAGCAGTGGGAAGGGAAAGATAACTGATCTCTTTACTTAACAGGTCTGAAGGAAAGAAACCATGCCCAAGCAATGAACCCAAGTCATCTCATGTACACCTGGAACTAAAGTTGATGGTGAGATCTTGAACCTCAAACTTGAGTCTGATACTATCATCAGATGAGACTTATCAGCAAATGTATTTTGTAAGCGGGAGGATAACTTGTGGCAAGAGCAGACTGTACTGTTTGTAAAAACAGGCCAACAAATTTCTTTGATACTCATCTCATCAAGAAGTAGGGCATATGCTCTTCCTTTGCTGAATCAAGACCATCCTTAATGATTAACTTGTAACCATCAGAATGCAGTGGGGAGATCAGGAGTGATGCTGTGGGACCTCTGAGGGTAAGTCAAAAGCTTCCACGTAGTCCCTTGGGAAGAGTCACCTCTGGAATCCTGAACTACCATGAAGTCCAACTACCTGAAGGCCACCATACTTTGTGGAACCCCAGACTACAGGGAGAAGCCTCTTGGAGATACTATGGCCAGAAGCCCCAGCTGATGTCCCAGAAGACTTATAGTACAACCACCAGACACATGAGAAATAATGGTTCCAGATGATTCCGCCTCCAGCTGTCAAGTTATCCCCAATCATCAAGTCTTCCCAGTTGAAACCCTAGACACAGTTCTCAGAGACAGCTGTCCCCATTGTACCCTTCCAAATTCCTGACACACAGAAACTCTGAGCATAATAAAAATGGTTGTTTTATGCCAAGAAGTTCTGAATATAATAAAATGGTTGTTTTAATGTGCACTTAAAAATGGTTGGGACAGTAAATTCTGTTACTTTTTTTACTACAATAAAAAAAAATTTTAGGGGCACCTGGGTAGCTCAGTCAGTTAAGTATCTGCCTTCAGCTCAGGTCATTAATCCCAGAGCCCTGGGATTGAGCCCCACACCGGGCTCCCTGCTCCATGAGGAGCCTGCTTCTCCCTCACCTCCTCGCTGTGCTCTCTCTATCTGTCACTATCTCTGTTGCTATCTCTCAAATAAATAAATTAAATCCTAAAAAATATTTTTAAATAAATATATTCGAAAAGTTATCCACATTAATGTCAACAATGTCCAAAGGCCAAACCAGTGGCAGAGAACAAGCTAGTTCCACAGCAAGGGAAGATAACAGGTAACATGACACGGAAAGCATAAACTAGCAACTTAAACTAAATATCAAAGTTTAATTATGAAATGTTTCGCATCACTTTGGAAAGCCAACGCAGTCAATAAATTTTGTTTAAGCCTCCAATTTTAAGCAGGAAAAACATCTAAAGACCATCTTGAAATTCAAAAGATAACAAAAGATAGCAAAATGAATTTTTCTTCCTGGGACAAACCTCATTTGCCCTTTATCATCCAACATTTCAAGATTAATGTGGTAGAGGTTTCTATTACAAAAAGCAATTTGTAAGTGATTTATACATGGCAAAATGATTATCAGCTGCACATTCTACTCTTACTAGACTGAATGGCTTTCAATCTGTACTACTGCCAAGCAAAGATAAAGCATGATATAAAAAGGCAATTCTTCTTAAAGCTTAGTATCCTCCCAAATTTTACTTATTCAGGTGCATAAGCTTTCCACTCTCAATGAAACAGCCGGCACGCAGTTCACTTTGCTAAAGACTGATATTTTGTTGGAATGCTTTATATTACAAGACCAAATGCTGGTAAAATCCAGCCCACTGCCTGTTTCTCTGTGGACCAAAAGCTAAGAGCAGTTTTTAGATTTTTAAATGACTGGAAGGAAATTTTATTTTATTTCATTTTTTTAAAGATTTATTTCAGAGAGAGGGAGAGAGCATGCGCAGAAGAGGCATAGGGAGAGAGAGAATCTCAAGCAGACTTTGAGCTGAACAGGAAGCCCAACACAGGGTCGGATCTCACCACCCTGAGAATATGACCTGAGCTGAAACCAAGAGTCAGACACTTAACCAACTGCAATACCCAGGCACCCCTGGAAAGAAATTTTAAATATTTTGGGGCACCTGGGTGGCTGAGTCGATTGAAAATCTGCCTTTGGCTCAGGTTGTGATCTCGAGGTCCTCAGATCAAGCCCATGTTGGGCTCTCCGCTCAGAGGGGAGTCCGCTTCTCCCTCTCCCTCTACCCCCGACTTGTGCTTTGTCTCCCTCTCTCTAATAAGCAAAAAAAATCCTTAAAAAAAAAAAAGAGTAATATTTCATGACACATATTACATGAAATTCAAATTTCAGTGTCCATAAATGAAGTTTTATCAAAACACAGCACACTTATTCACTACACATTGTCTACGGCTGCTTTCATATAACAGCAGTCAAGCAGTTGGAATTGAGATGGCATGACCTAAAAAGCCTAAAATGTTTACTCTCCTACCCTTTATAGAAAAAATCTGCCTATTCCTGTTTTAGACATTCCTTTTTCATCCCTATAAAGTTTTCTTTTATATTATGGGTGTTCCATGAAAACACATTTTCATAAGGTCACAAAGTTAAACACCTATGCCACACCACCAGTCAAAAAATGGAAACAAACTTCATACAATTAAGCATGTAAGATACCAATTCTGTTGGCCTAAAATAATGTTTTCCAAACTTTAGACCCACTCAGAGTTTCGAATTCCATAGGTCAGGCCCAAGAATTTTTGTATTTCTAAGAAGTTCTCGGTGACACAACTGGCGTGGGAACCCACTTCAAGAACTACTAAACTGGGGCACCTGGGGGGCTCAGTTGGTTAAGCATCTGCCTTTGGCTCAGGTCATGATCCCGGAGTCCTGGGATCAAGCCCCGAATAAGGCTCCCTGCTAGCAGGGAGTCTGCTTCTCCTCTGCCACTCACCCTGCTTGTGCTCTCTCTCACATTCTCTCTTTCAAATAAACAAAATATTAAAAAAAAAAAAGAAGAAGAAGAAGAAGCACTAAACTTGTTTTAAAAAGTCTGTTTCAGGTATTACTATACATCTTAAAGAATATACTTTATTATAATTTAAAACTTAAAGGGGAGCCTGGGTGGCTCAATCAGTTAAGCTTCTGACTTAGGCTCAGGTCATGATCTCAGGGTCCTGGCATCCAGCCCCGAGGCAGTATGCTTCTCCCTCTCCCTCTGCCCTCCCCCTGACTCCATGTTCTCTCTCTCTCAAATAAATAAATTTTTTAAAATTTAAAAATAGAAGTTAAAAACCAATTAAACAATTTTTAAATGTTGAAAACTACTTAAAACTCCCCTTTCCTGTAATATACTGCCTACTGCCAATTCCCACAAAAACTATCAAGTTTACTTTTTAAGGACTACACACTCTAAAGTGACAATTCAGTATCTGTTTTTTTCCAACTTACTCAACATAGTAAATCCTTAATAAGTAATACTCGATTAGTAAATAATTCATAGCACCCACATAATAGAATCTTTAATAAACTCTTCAAACGTATCCTACAGAACTGACAAAATATGGAGTATATATCTGCAAGGTAACTTTATTTTTATAAGAATAGGTTTCTCAAAGGGGTCATATAATGTACTGCAATTTTCTGTACAAAGTGACATGAAAAATTATTGAGTCTAACTTTTTATTTTTCAGATACCTGTAGATAACTGAACAATGCCAAATCCTAAAACTGAAAAACATACCATCGTGGAGGAAGGCTGTTCAGCAAAAACCAAATCAATCCTTTAGGAAAAACTAAGTTTAGAACTGCTATACACATAGCTTCATATATATTCAGATTTCACTACTATGCAAGTTTCATCTGATGTATTATCATTCAGAATACAAAAACATGTAAAAGTTTTCATGTAGACAACTTTATAATTTCAAAATAAAGATGGCCAGGCTCAAAGTTCAATCAAAATTATTACCTTAGCTATTTTTAAATCCTTTTTTTTTTAAGATTTTTTTTTTATTTTATTCATGAGACACACAGAGAGAAAGGCAGAGGGAGAAGCAGACTGCCTCGGGGCTGGATGCCAGGACCCTGGATTCATGACTTGAGCAGAAGGTAGACGCTTAACCAACTGAGCCACCCAGGTGCCCCCAATTTTTTAGTTATAAAATATTCAACCCTGGTTAGATACTTTCTCCAAATCACCCACAAAAGTTACCAAACATGAAAAAGTTTGGTAGTTTTTTAATTTTTAATTCATAAATGAACTGTCACATTAATATATTAAATCATACCTCACAACCACTCAAAAGGCAGCCAATGAATGACCGTAAGGTCTTTAAATCAACTTTTTTTTTTTTAAGATTTTATTTATTTGAGAGAGAGAGAGACAGAGAGGGAACACAAGCAGGGGGAGTGTAAGAGGGAGAAGCAGGCTCCCTGCCGAGCAGGGCTCGATCAAGCAGGGCTTGATCCCAGAACTCTGGGATCATGACCTGAGCCGAAGGCCGCTGTTTAAACAACTGATCCACCAGGTGCCTCTTAAATCAACTTTTAAACATCTCAAAATATTAACATTCTATTTAACCAATAAGAATAAAGCAAGCTGACCATGGCATATACACAAAAGTATCATTACTACCTCAAATTTAACATAACCCCATCTTCAACAACTATCACATTTGATTCAGTCTTATGGAAGTCAATCTTACTCTCAATTTACATACGGAAAATTAAAACAGAAATCAAGTTATCTGCTCAAGGACATCAGCAATTAGCAGCCAACAGTATGGAACGCGCAAGTTCCAAAGTGTAATGCTCATTCATTATCCTATAGGAACATAATAGAGCTCATTTCCAACGGCTTCAAAAAACATTACCTAAAACATAAAGATTCTTGACAGCTTTCAAAATACTGAAATCTGATTAACAAAAAAAATTAATGACTATAGATTATTTGTCATAAACATTTTATCTTTTGATCAAAAAAAGTTCAACAGCATGTTTTACTTAAGACAACCAAAAATTCTGTCTCAAGTATTTTAAGAAAGGTAGAAAGATTTTTAAAAAGTAAAAGAAAAGAAAGGTAGGAAGATACGTTTAGAAAGTTTTATCAATATATCTGCTTCACGCTATCTATGGCATGAATGAAATATCAAGTTTAACAACTTGTCCCTAAACAAACCTACTGCAGTAAATGCCCCATAAAACAAACAAAAAAACCTGTCTTTAACTGTTAAATACTTTATGTAAAGTGTACTGAAATGCATTCCTTTAGAAATCAAGACTACTTTAGTAACCAACCTTAGATTGAAATCATCCTGACATCTTAAGTCTTATTTCGAGAATAAACCAAACCAGGAAGAAATTTACCTGGGAACTTAACGGTTTACAGATATCCTTCACCTCCAAAGTATGAGTTGAAACCATGTAAGACCAGTAAGGCTTTATCGTTTGAAAACCACTCAGAGAGAAGGGAGTTAAGGGAAATTGGAAGGGGAGGTGAACCATGAGAGACTATGGACTCTGAAAAACAATCTGAGGGTTTTGAAGGGGCGGGGGATTGGTGGGGGGAGGTTGGGGGAACCAGGTGGTGGGTATTAGAGAGGGCACGGATTGCATGGAGCACTGGGTGTGTTGCAAAAACAATGAATACTGTTATGCTGAAAATAAAAAAAATAATAATAAAAATAAAAATAAATAAATTTAAAAAAAGAAAACCACTCAGAAACCATTGACAGAAATACAGCTTTCATCTTCACCAAAGTTAGAATGAAAGACATGTAGCCAATAATACAAAGGCCGCTCAGGCAGGAGATGAACAAGCTTCTGCCCTGCGGCTGGACTTAAAATGCAACCTCAAGCCAACTGCCCTGTGCTTCTACTCACCTACTTTTTTCCCTCTCCAGGAGTCACCTCCTCTGGACTTCTTTGGCCTAGTTGAAGCTCATCCTAATCAAAAAGTACTCCCTCTTCCTTCTGTGTTCCTAAGCCAGATTTAGCAACAAAGCTTAAATGACTACGTTCCTAGACTAATCTGTTCATTCACTGAACAAACATGTACTGAGCACCTACTAAGGACACAGAGAAAATAAAAATACAAGGAGGTTCTGTTTTAACTTGAAACCACATGAATTTTACAAGTGTCCATGTCTATCTTTACCAATACATTTTCCGTTACCTTCCACTACATTCCTTGATGAGGGGGATTATGTGTAGCAAAAAGAACCGGGGCTCTGGAGCCAGGCAGACCTTCACTGAATTCCAAATCTGCCACTCCTAATTGTAATCTTAGAGCTCTAAGTCACTCACATCTGGAGTCTCAGGTTCTATTCATGTGTAAAATGAAATAAATATGTATTAACCACGATGGTTGTAAGGATTTGAGTAATGGTTTAAGTGCCCAGATACAGTTAGATACCCGGCTGTCCATGGAATGCATGAATAGACCCATTAATAAAAATGGGACTACCAATGTCATGTTTCATTCAGTTGCTGAGATTTATCAATGTGAAAATGTAGTATTAAATGCAAAAGAAAAGTTTAATTAAAACCCATCAATGTGTACACTGAGTGGAAATATACTGTGTCCTGGATAGTACTTTCACCACTCCAACACCACTCTCTAAGGCTGACAGGTTTCTGGCTGCCAGGCATAAGGAATATACAATTCCCAATTTCAGGAGCCCCAAGAAATACACTCTGGCCTTATGAAACCCTGGTATCTAACTTTTACTTTACCTTTAAGGCCTGAAGAATACTGAGCCACCATCTGCCCAATGGCCTCAACACTCTGGGACACACTCCTCAGTCTGCCCCAGAACCACTTCTTCACCCACCAAGCAAACCCATTCCAACAAAACTGGGCCCAAACAGATGCACACAGAGTTTGGAGAGATAGAAATTACTATTATGTCTCCTTCTCCTTCCTCTTCCTTGATATCCAAAGGAATATTTCTCATTTCTGCTAAAACTACATTGATAAACTAATGTTATATGTCAATTATACCTCAATAAAGAAATCCAGACTGAGGGAGGAGGAAGGCTACATTAAGGTACACTGACTGAATTTAAAACCCAAAGCATTGGCTTAAGGGCACATGATAAAAATAATACTTTCATAATATAAATATTCAATTCCCTTAGCCACTTCTAGAAGCTCTGCTGCCTACAAAAAAAAAAAAAAAGTGACCAATTTATCACTGTATAAGGGAGAGCAATATTCTTGTCTACTTAAATGCAGATGAGAAAAACTGGCAATCCCAAATGTGACTGCAAAATTTCAGGGCGAAAAAAGTCAAAGCATATAAAAATATATATCGTCTGTCACTTCCTAAAACTTCAAGAAGAAAGTCACTTCTGAAAGCACTACAGTGTAACGTCAAAGGAACCCAAGATCCTGTCCCTATCAACCTCCAAAACCTGACAGACTCCATTGCACTGAGGAACTCAAATGACTAGGTTTCTAGACTACCTCGTCTTTCCATTCACTGAACAATTATTTACTAAGCAACTACTGAGGGCGAGGCTATGAGTACCAACCATGTTGGGGGTAGGGGACAATGCAGTGAAGAGGCCTGACAAGGTCCTTGCCCCAGTGCTATGGTTCTCAATGGGGGAAGTATGGCAATAGAAAGGTATGTTCGGAAATCTGGGGCAGAAGAGGTATTTTGGGCAGTTTGCTTCATTACACCTTCCAAGGGAGTCATTCCTATGTATCTAGAAGGGGAGTTAAAAAACACTCGTTATAAATAAAAGGTTAAGTCACAACTTTCAATACCCACTGATTCAGCGGAACTTACGTCCCCAAAGTAGGAGAAACAGCTAGATGAAAAGAATAATCTCACAAAATGGTACAAGACAAATAAAGGTAATACGAAGTGCGGCAGTCAAGTATTAATGGGGTTCTCAGGGAAGGCCTCCCTGAGAAATACAGTAGGTACAAGTACGTTAACTCTTGTACTCACACTGCACGAACTACAAGTACAATAAACACTGTCATTTTTTTTTTTAAACATCAGTGCTCACCAATACAATCACCCATTATATCGGCCTGCTGTTACTAACTTCCGAGTACAATGTCTAGTCATTCTTTACCAAACCAAGAACAGGCAGCAGAACCTGAGCTACCTCACTTGACTTGAAACAAAACTTGAAGCTGCCCTCACAACCCTGGCTCGGACAGTTTGTAAGAATCATTGTTCGCACACCCAGTGCCACTAACAAAAGAGATTCACGCCCTCCGGGTTGCTGAGCTCGAGATGCTCCTGCACGCCGGGGCGAGCTGGGGCTCTGGCCCGCGGTGCGGGGACTCCCAGGGGCCTGGCCCCGGGGGTCCGGCGCAGCCCCCGGCGCGCGGGCGCCGAGAGCGGACGGCGGGGGCGTGGCGGGCCCGGCGCCTGCCTTTGTTGTCCCTCGTGGCGCGCGGGGGGGGAGGGGCGGCCCGAGGCCCGCGAGGCCAGTAGCTGCGCCCGGCTCCCGTCGCGTGGCCTCCCCGGCCCCCACGGGCGCGCGAACCCACCTTCTTGTAGTGCTTGCCCAGCCAGACCCGCACCGAATCCAGCTGGGACACCGTCTCCGGGCTCTCCCAAAACTTGCTGGCCGGGCCACCGTCCTTCCGCCGATAAACGGCCAGGCCCGCGGCCGCCGCCGCGCCTCCCGCGCCCGCGGCGCCCGCCGCAGCCCCCAGCCCGCCGCCGCCCGCCGCCGCAGCCATAGTCTCCGTCCGTCGTCCCCACCGCCCGGACCGCCCCGGCCCTCGCGGCGATCCCCGTTCGCACCCGCGCGCGCGCGCGCAGCCGCCGCCACCGCCTCCCGGCCCCGCCCAGCCAACCCCCTTCCGGCGCGGAGGGCCGGCCCCGCCCCTTCTCGGGACCCGGTCCTTAACCGAAGAGGGCACGCGCGCACGCATGCGCAGCACCGGAGCCCGGCGGGCTGGGGACGAACGCTTGCTCCCGCCTCTTCCGCCCGCCGAGGGACGCTGCGCACCTTCGTTACTCACCCCGGACCTGCGAGTTGTGCTGTAGCCAAGTTCCTGCATCCCGTGAACCACTGCACAGAGGTTCTGTGTCATCCCCTGGCAGCGCCGGAGAGGAAATACCTGGCATGAGAAGTTCGGAGGGGGAAGCCCGTTTACGGTGTCGAGTGCTGCCCGAGGAACCCCCTGGCGGGGCGGGAATCTGCGTTTGCTTCCCCCCCCCCCCACCGCCTCAGACTTAGCGCACGGAGTGGCCTAGTAGCCTTTGTAAGCGTACACCTGGCACCACCACCCGGTGCTGCTTGGGCAGCACACACCTTCCTTCCCCTAGTGGCTGCAGCCACGCCGGCTCTTTCCTAGCCTCGGGGCCCTTCACCAGCTGGTTCCTGAGACCTGGACAGGTTTTACCCTGACTGTGGTGGCTTAGGCGCTTTCAAATTCATAGCTTAAGGGTGCTTTAAAGAAAAAACGATCTCTGACGGTACGTATTGACCAGCTGATCACACTCACCGGACGTTCTCTATGTAGCAGTCACCGCGACCTAGTATTTTTCTTACTTGTCCACATCCATTACATGAGAACCTAACCGTGACTTGTTTACAGGTGTACTCTCAGTGCTGGGAACAGAGCCTGTTATCTAATAGATATTCCATAAATATTTGATGAATGAGTGAATGAATGACCTACGGAGGAGCAGAAAGATTTTAAATTATTAACGAAGTTTGGCCAATATGGCGTTATAAACATGATATTATGTAACACCAGAACAGCAGGTGACTAATTGCTTGTGAGAAAGTCTGGTGAGGTTTCAAGACCAACTTTTAAGGATGAATAGAATGTGATGGGGGAGGAAATGCCATCTCAGATACACAAAAACAACTGGATCAAAGGCGTGAAAGCAAGCTGGGTGAAACCTTTGAGCCCATGGTGTGGAAGCAGAGATGTTACTTGGTTGTGGCAGTGAATTTTGACTTCATCCTGTAAGCACTAGGAAACCCTTGAACAGAGAGAATGAATTAAGGCAGAGAGCGGTTAAGTAACTGGCTAGCAGGAATTATGAACCCAAGCCTCAGACCCTGGAGTACTAATGGGCCCCCCACCTTCCTGAGTACACATTTCTTTCTTCCTTTCTTTCCTTCTTTGCTTCTTTCTTTCTTTCAAGATTTATTTATTTATTTGAAAGAGGCAGGGGAGGGGCTCAGGAAGAGGAAAAGAGTCTAAAGCAGCATCCATGCCGAGCTCAGAGCCAGATGCAGGGCTAGATCTCATAACCCTGAGATCAAGATCTGAGCCAAAACCAAGTGTCTGACCCCTAACTGTGCCACTAGGCGCCCCAACTGTGTTTTCTATTAACAGCTTGTGAATAGAGCATAGAAAATGCTCTGGAGAAGTTCAGCAAACTATTTCATTTGCCTGGAGCCATAGAGAAGGAAGTTAGTTCTTCCAGGGCAGTGGTATTCCAACTTTTTTGCTTCTGCCTTCTACTCAAGTTGTGATCCAAGGGTCCTGGAATTGAGTCCCAAATCTAGCTCCTTCCTCAGCAGAGAGCCTGCTTCTCTCTCTCCCTCTCCCCCCTCCCACCCAGCTCGTTGTCTCTCTCTTTCACTATCTCAAATAAATAAAATATTTTAAAAATTAAAAAGTTTTTAATTTGGGGCGCATGGTGGGTTAAGCCTCTACCTTCAGCTTGGGTCATGATCTCGGGTCCTGGGATCGAGGCGCGAGTTGGGCTCTCTGCTCAGCAGGGAGCCTGCTTCCCCCTCTCTCTCTCTCTACCTACTTGTGACCTCTCTCTGTGTCAAAGAAATAAATAAAATCTTTTAAAATAAATAAATAAAAATTTAAAAAGGTTTTTATTTTGAAATAATCTCAAACTTACAAAAAAGTTACAAATACAATACAAAGAGTTTTATCTTTTCCTGAAGCATATAAGAGTATGTTGCTGACATGATGCCCCATCCTTAGGAAAAACGTTAATGTATATTTCCCACAGACAAGCATATTCTGTTACATAATCACAATACAACCATCAACACAAGGAAATTAACATACCATCCTCAGACCCCATTTGTTTTTCTTTTTGCCCCTGTGAACTTTGTTACAGCAGTTTCCAGTTCAGAATCAAGCATCCCATTAGCTCAGGTTTCAAGTCTCTCAAGCTGAAACAGTTCTTTGGTCTTTAACTTTCACAACATTGAAAATGCTGAAGATTCCAAGCCTGTTATTTTATAGAATATCCCTCAATTTGAGTTTGAGTTTTTCATGCTGTGTTCTTTTCACTACGTATAAATGCACATGATTTCATGACTTCTGTAACTTTGATGAGTTGATTAAGAGAGTATCTGGCAGGCTTCTCTACTGTGAAGTTATTTCTTTTAAGGATTTTATTTATTTTTGAGAGGGAGGGAGAAAAGGAGAGCATGAGTTGGGGCAGAGAGGCAGAGGGAGAAGCAGACTCCCCACCGAGCAGGGAGCCTGATGACAGACTGGATCCCAGAACCCTAGGACCATGACCTGAACCGAAGGCAGATCCTTAACAGACTAAGCCACCCAAGGCAACCTACTGTGAAGTTATTTTTTTGCCTTTGTAATTAATTAGTATTTTCTGGAGAGAGATTTTGAAGGTGTGTAAATACCACATTCTTCATCAAATTTCCCACCTTTATCAGACAAAGTGAAATGGTTGAAAATTTGACTAAGTACAGATTGTAACTCTAACAAAAAGAAATGGGGCTACCATTATCCTTACTATATTTACTTTATCAGTTCACGTACATGTAACCATTTTCCATGCTGGGCTACCCACCTGTATAGGTACCACCTATCCTTGGCTCCTACAGTCACATGCTAAGCCACCCTAATATGCTTATCTACCTTGCTGACACCATCTACAGGCTTTACAACTGAATTATTTGAGAATAGATGGAAAGGGAATAGGAAAAGTAAGAAGACGTCACTTTTGGAGTGCCTAGGTGGCTCAGGAGGTTGAGCATCTGTCTGCCTTTGGCTCATGTCACAATCCCAGGGTCCTGGGATTGAGCCTCACATCAGGCTCCTGGCTCAGCATGGAGTTTGCTTCTTCTATTCCCTCTCCCTCTGCTTGCACACTCTCTTTCTTTCAAATAAATAAATAAATATATTTTTTAAAAATCACTCTTAAACCTAATGAAGTCTAAATATGTGATAATTTAGTGGTCATATTATAATAAAGATAGTCCTCTCTGCACAGGAGTGTAATACCCTGAAGATGACTGTGCAAGCAGAAACCATGCAAAGCAACCTTAATTATCAATGAGGAATCACAATCCATGGCCTTTAAACTTTTTTTTTTAAGATTTTATTTATTTGACAGAGGGAACACAAGCCCAGGGAGTGGGAGAGGGAGAAGTAGGGTCCCCGTTGAGCAGGGAGCCCAAAGCTGCCCTCCATCCCAGACCCCTGGGACCACGACCCGAGCCAAAGGCAGAGGCTCGACAACTGAGCCACCCTGGTGCCCTGCCTTTAACCTTTTTTTTTATCAAAACATGAAAAACCCTATCAGTTATAAATGTATAAGGAAATAGATACAGTATAATTAAATTTATTTAGTACAATCTGAAACATCAGAAATATTGGGGTGCCTGGTTGGCTCAGTCAGAAAAGCACATAGCTCTTGACCTCAGGGTCTAGAGTTCAAGACCCACATCGGATGTGGAGATTACTAAAGATAAAAAAATAACAATAAACCAGAAATATTAAGATTTAAAGTGTTTGGGGAGCCTGGGTGGCTCCATTGGTTAAGTGTCTGCCTTCATCTCAAGTCATGAGGTCCTGGAATAGAGGCCCCCATCGGGCTCCCTGGTTGGCGGGGAGCCTGCTTCTCCCTTTCCCTCGGCCCTTCCTCCTTCTTATGTGCCCTCTCTCTCTCTCTTTCACTCTCTTTCAGATAAATAAATAGAATCTTAAAAAAAATAAATTATAAAAAAAAGAAGTGTTCTACTTTTTGATGAAAAGCTTAACCACAAGCTGTTTGAACTTCTCATATAAGTTATGAGAAAGCATTTTTTTCAGTGTTTTGTCAAATTCTCATACCCCTCTCTAAGCTTGCATCAGCATCCAACATTTTGTACTTTGCCCTTTTAATGTGAAGCTTTTGCCAAGTATCAACTCCTCTGAGATGTCTTCATTTTTTTCTTCAAATCGCTTTCCTCCTTTGTATGGATAAATTTGGCATAAAAAAGTTCCTCAAGAGTCTCTGGAAGAGCTTCAGGGTCAATATTCCCAAGGTCAGCTCTTTCTTCTGTAATGCTATTTATATTTGATTTGAATTTCACATCATATCAATAGAATAAAAAAGAAAATCACACAGTCAACTCAGTGAAGCAGAAACAAACATTTGACAAAGTCCAGTACCCTCTCCTGATAAAAACACTCAACAAATTTGAAGTAGAAGGAAATTCCTCAACCTGCTGAAGAGTATCAGTGAAAAGCTAACAATAGCATCATACTTAATGGTGAAAGGCTGAGTGCTTTTCTCCCAACATCAAGGACAACGAAGATATCTGCTCTTATCACTTCAACATTAAAGTTCTAACCTCGGATCGAGCCCCGCATCGGGCTCCCTGCTTGGCGGGGAGCCTGCTTCCCTCTCTCTCTCTCTCTGCCTGCTTCTCTGCCTGCTTCTCAGGTCAGGACCCTGGGATCATGACCTGAGCCAAAGGCAGAGGCTTTAACCCACTGAGCCACCCAGGTGCCCCAAGACTTAACATTTTTTT